CAAAAGAGCAGAGGCCCAACCTAGAAGGGGGACTCAGAGGCTCACATTGAGAGGGGCGTGCTCATATGAAACCTCCAAGGGCACTGCTAAGCTCGACCCACAAGAAGGGCGGCTCAACAGGGAGGTGGAGAGAGGCCTAACGACCTGAGGCTGCTACTCAATAGAGCTCAAACGAGCGGAGGACTTGATGAGGAAAGTCCACAGACGCTCAATCGGGAGTGGCAGGCTCAACGACAACCCTCCGAGGTGAGTGTAGCACTTCCTAGCTTGATCCAAATAGTGGCAGCTATTTAACAGGGAAGCAGCAAGTGTCCCAACTACCTGATGTCACTGCCACAGAGCTGAAGAGCAGAGCAGGTTCCTCTCTCTCCTCGCTAGGGGTTGAACCCAGCTCGACCGAAGCGATCAATAGCCCAGGGTCAGAGAACCTAACTCTCAAGTCAAGAGGAGGACTCATCCAGTCTGCCCAGGACCGGTGAGCTCAACGGGACCCTCCCGCAGTGAGGGGAGCGCAGCCATGTCCGAGGAGCAGATAGATAGCAAATGGGACATCAGAAATGGGTTCCTGCTAGAAGGGTATCACACATTTCTACAGGGAACAACAGGGTCCCAAAATAAAGGCAACTGACCAAGGAGGCGACAGAAACTGGCCTAACACTCAGTTTGTTGCAAATGGGGTTTTTTGGGAGCAGCGCTCTTGGCTCTAAAGCTGAGGTGGGCCCTTACAGCACATACTAGGAGCGACTCCTAGCTAACCCTCACAGAGAGGGGAGCAGACGCATACAAGAGGGGTTTCCGCAGAAACACAAATCCCTCTTACCTCAAGGAATGCAGTGTACTCAAGCCCACTCCGCAGAGGGGCGATTACTGCTTCAACCATAAGGGCAGTGAGACAGGGAGGACCCGTGGTCCTGACCGTCTATGGAGTATTAAGCTCCTCAACACCTCAGCAAGAGTACGGTGTCCTGAGGTTGCAGCATTATACTGGAGACCTGATGCTGGGAGGCTTCCGCAGAAGATAGCATCGTCGTCCAGCAGCTCACTCTCATCCGTGACTGATGAGCGCGAAAGGGAAAGACCCTTTTTCAACTCATCAGCCAGGTCCATCTGCAATCCCCACAAGTTCATTTTCCTCCATGCCTCAGCAGCGGAGGGTCCTGAACCACGGGGAGCTGATGGCTGTTCCTCCTTCCTCGAAAAAAAAGACAAACGAGAGCGGAGCTTTTTCATAGGAAAACACTCACAGTACACGCAAACGGCCCCCTTGAGGACATCATGTGCGTGCTCTTCACCCAAACACAAGAAGCAAAGATCGTGCATGTCATCAGGTGTCAAATAACGAGGACACGGATCCACACACTTCTTAAATGCCTTACTAGTGCTCGCCATGGTAAAGGAAATGCATGCTTCAAACAAAACAGTCCTTGGAGACGAAGAAGAGGATCTCGTGTTCTCCCGGCGCCCTTTTATATTGTGGTCGGTGATGACGTCACAGGCTGTCGCCGGCCGATGTTATTGTCGTGTTTAGATGTATGCTTCAGACACCGGTCACGCTGAAGGCGTTCCCCATAGCGACCTCTAGAGGACGCAGTTCAAAGTTCCCTCGGAAGGGAACTAAAGCTGTACAGCGTCAGACAATTACTGTAGATAGAAACTGTAAATCTTCCTATACTTCTGCCATTGTTGTGTACAATATTTATCATGCTCATTGCACAATGCTCAGCGTTTGGTCTGAGGCTTACAATAACCTTCAGATAACCCAGAATATGAGTTTGATTTTAAGTGTCTACTGGGGGGAAAAATCAATGAGTAAAAAATCAACACTTAGCATCACAACTAAACATGTGGGCTTCAGCAAACAAATACAGAGTATCTTACAGTCTTATTGCAGACTCCCACTCATTCATCATACACTCAATGCTAATATAATATCATACCATTACAGCAGCAGACAGTGCAGATGTGTGTTCAGAGGTGTTCATTAAAGCTGCAGATCTCGTCTTGAGTTCTCAGTGAGACGTGAGCTCTCCAGAGTTTCCTTTGGCACAGCAGGAGCTCAAACACACACACTCCTCACACACACTCCCACTGTCCTCACACTCCAGGACTCTCATCCTCATCCTCCCCATACACACTCACGGCATAGCAGGACTCGACCCCGTGACCCCTGGCATTACCGGCCCGCTGCTCTCATTAACCAGTACTGTGTGTGTTTGGTGTGTGTTTGGTGTCAAGGGTGTTGTGTATGTCAGGGTCGGGAGGGTTTTTTAAATATGTCTAGGCACATTCATGTCATGAAAACAAAGCAGCTGCATGTATTGATTCACACCGGCCCGTTGTACATACTAAACCTGTGCTGCTGTTATTCTACTGATAAACCTCAGCACTCAAGGGGGCGATAGAGTTTCCTTCAAGATAGTGTATTTAGAGAAATGCAAGCACACATCCAGATGATGAAAAAATTTTCTGAGAACTTTTGGGGTAATGTTCCATGAAGTTATAAAAACATTATTTCTGAATGCTCTCTGAATGTTCAAAAATGTTCAGTGTTTTAAATGTTTAAAAAGCGTATTTTCTTGGTTATGCACACATCTTATCTTATCTTATCTTATCTTATCTTTTATTTCAAGTTTTGTTATATTGCAATATTTGTAATAATATTTCACAATATTACAGTTTTACTATACTTTTTTAATTAATGAAAATAATGCATATTTATATATTGAATAAAAATAAATAGAAATTAGTTACTGTATGTAGAAACTAAATCTTTCATCATCTTCATTGTTGTTCAGTATGCAAATATATTAGAACCTATGATACATAATTTTTTGAAAACAGCTATTTTAAAATGTAATAATATGTCACAATATTATCATTTTTATTGTATTGATGACTAAATAAATGCATCCTTGGTGATCAAAAGAGAACAACTGTAATAATTCCAAACTTTTGACCACTAGTGTGAGCTTATATTATGACCTAATTTTGCTTCTTTTGACTGCCACTGCACACTGTAGAAATGATATGATCAATAACGTAATTTACATGAGCTTTTTAACTCCTCAAAATAAGTTGCACAATTTCAAGTAACATGAAATTCAACTTGATGGTTTTTAAAGTCAGTTTAAGCACCTTTATTTTTAAGAGTGTATATGATGTAGTAGCGTGTGAACACGTGTGCCAGCGGCCCTCAGGGAAACGCTTGTGGAAAATGACAGGTTCCTCTCCACTGATCGCAGAGCCACGAGTCGCTGTGAGGTCATCTGAAAAGCATGCACAGGAGCGTAGCATGATGGGAAGAATACAGAGCACTCTCTGGTTGCTGTCTGCCGCTGGCACGGGTCACTGCGCAGCCCGTGTAAACTTACTTTCTCTTTTCATCTGTTTTCCTCACTCCTGCTGCCTTTTATTTGACCTTTTTAAATTTTTCGGTGTTTTTCACACTTCATCTCCGCCTGTTTGCCCGCCTGTCATTCTTCACCGTTTCTGTGCCGTAGGATGCGCTGGAGGTCCTGGCAGAGAAATATATTAAATATATGATTTATTTATATATATATATATATTATTTAGATATTTATCAAAAAAGCATATATAATATTATATATATAATATTATATATAAATTACATATGTCATATATATACAGTATATATATATATATATATATACTGTATATATATGACATATGTAATTTATATATAATATTATATATATAATATTATATATAAATTACATATGTCATATATATACAGTATATATATATATATATATATACTGTATATATATGACATATGTAATTTATATATAATATTATATATATAATATTATATATAAATTACATATGTCATATATATACAGTATATATATATATATATATATACATATTACTGTCATTTAGTTATTTTTAATGATTTTTTATAATTTGAGTTCTGATTTTAGTTTTTAGTTTTAGATTTTAGTTAAAGTTTTATTTTTATTTTTTTTATCTGTCTATAGTTTTCTTTAATTTCATTTTTAGTTCAGTAAATTTAGCTTGGGCACTTACAAACCAACAAACAAACAAAATAAATAAAATAAAAAATACAAATACAATGAAGAACTTTTAATATTACGCCGCTATAAAATGAAAGATAATTTAATAAATGAGTGACAAAACATTTTAGTTTTTCATAATTCATCTCCTGTTGTATTTCACCCTAAAAGCAAAATTAGTAAATTATGTTGTTATAAAGATTATTGTCATGATTAAGCACATTTTCCCCTAAAATTCTCATTAAAGTATGTGGAAAAATAATATATTATTAAAATGGTAATTTATGAAAATATTTGATGAACTGTGTCTTATTTATGCTTATTTATAAAAAAAATTAATGGTTATATATATATTTTTTTCTAATATTTAAATTTTTTGTATTTTTTTGTAATTTTTTATTTTATTTTATTTTATTATTATTATTGTTATTATTATTTTTGTAATATATGTCTATATAATTTTCATAAATTTTTGTTTTAGTTCAGTAAATTTTGCTTCGCCAACTCACTGAAATAAAATAAATGTATGTTTTTTTAAATATATTATATTATATTTTAGTCAAAAGTTTTTTTTTCAAGTAACAAAAGTAGTTTTATGGTCTTATAGTGTTAGTTATGTGTGTTAAATATTTCTTTATTTAATGCTTTAGAATTAAATTGGATAATTTATTCAAGATCTACAAACATTTTCATCTAATCATGTGCTTTTTGGCTCTCTATATTATATTTTAGGACCATTATGATTTTGTGGTTAAATGTATTTTGGGCATGTTTTCATGAGATCCACCTGCATTTATCTGAAGATCCTGCAGTTTTTCAGCACAGATATGTGTTTGTGTTTGACAGCTGAAGCTGGAAAAAACAAGGAAGAACTCGTAATATTATGCTGTTTTAAAAATGAAACACAATTAGCTTTTAATAACTGAGTGACATGTGACAAAGCTCTCCTCCTGTCTGCTGCTGTAGGATGCGTTGGAGGTGCTGGCGGAGAACCTGGAGCTCAGTGGGAATCAGGGGCCGAGCCTGGCGTTCAGAAAAGCTGCATCCGTGCTCAAGAGCCTCCCCGCTGCCCTGAGACGCCAGGAGGAGACGCAGCATCTGCCCTGCCTGGGAGAACATAGCAGGGCCATCATAGAGGTGCAGCATGAGCCTCGTCCATCTCTCTCTGTCTCCACACATCAGCAGTCATCTGAGCTGCTCTGCTCCTGCTGAGGCTCTGATAAATACGCTTTCACACCGCCGCTGTTTATTTTCCTGAGGGGGAAAGCAGCAAGACATGGTTTAGAAAGAAAGAAAGAGCCAAACATTTCAGCAAAAAAACATTTGAGTAGGTTTTAAATGAGGTAAAATGGTGAAGCTCAAACCTGTGAGAACATTTCTGCATGGGTCATGTTTCACCCTACAAGCAAATCCAAGAAATTGTCAAGATTATTGTTATGACAATTTAGCACATTTTCCCCTAAAATTCTTACTATTAATATATCATTTAAAATGTCACTTGTGACCCTGGAGCACAAAAGCAGTGTTGAGTCGCTGGGGGATATTTGTAGCAATAGACAACAATACATTGTATGGGTCACAATTATACATTTTTCTTTTATGCCAAAAATCATTTGGATATTAAGTAAAGATCATGTTCCACGAAGATATTTTGTAAATGTCCCACCGTTGGGAAGTCGTGGCCTAATGGTTAGCGAGTCGGACTCATAACCCAAAGGTTGTGGGTTCGAGTCTCGTACTGGCAGGGATTGTAGGTGGGGGGAGTGAATGTACAGTGCTCTCTCCCTTCAATACCACGACTGAGGTGCCTTTGAGCTCTCCGGGCGACTGGGCATAAATGGCTGCCCACTGCTCCGGGTGTGTGTGTGTTCACTGCTGTGTGTGTGTGCACTTAGGATGGGATAAATGCAGAGCACTAATTCTGAGTATGGGTCACCATACTTGGCCACATGTCACGTCACTCACTGTCACTAAAAGTAAATATATCAAAACTTAATTTTTGATTAGTAATATGCATGGCTAAGAACTTCATTTTGACAACTTTAAAGATGATTTTCTCAATATTTAGATTTTTTTGCACCCTCAGATTCCAGATTTTCAAATAGTTGTATCTCGGCCAAATATTGTCCGATCCTAACAAACCATACATCAACGGAAAGCTTATTTATTCAGCTTTCAGATGATGTATAAATCTCAATTTCGAAAAAATTGACCCTTATGACTGGTTTTGTGCTCCAGGGTCACATTTAAGAAAGTATTTGATGTAATGCCTTTGATTTATACTCATTTAAATGCTAATAAAAAACGTTAATTGTTAAAATGTTAATGGTCCTAAAATTTGGCCGTGTACTTCATATTCAGGATTTATAAATATATTTTGAGATTTCAGATATTTATTTCCTTTTTGGCCCTTACATATAGTATATAGTACAAAATTATAATATAATTTATTTAAATGTTATTTGAAGCTTTAAATGTATATTATTTCTGAAGATCATGTGACACTGAAGACTGCAGTAATGATGCTGGAAATTCAGCTTTGATCACAGAAATACATTACAGTTTAACAGATATTCACATAGAAAACAGCTATTTTAAATTGTAAAAATATTTTTTTGTTTTATATGTTTTACTCTGTTTTCAATCAGATAAATACGGCCTTGGTGAGCATACCATTACATTAAACTGTATAATCAGGATTTCTAATATACAGTATATATATACATGCAGTATATATAAGCTTATTGTAATTGATTTTGGGGTTAAATGTGACATGTTTTTATGAGATTCTCCTACATTTAGTTGAAGATCCTGCAGTATTTCAGCAGAGATGTGTGTTTTGACAGCCGAAGTCTGGAGAATACAAGGAAGAACATGTAATATTATGCCATTTTAAAAATGAAAGACAATTAGCTTTTAATAATTGAGTGACATGTGACAAAAACACGGTTTTCCTTTGTGTTGAAAGTTGTGGGATTACAGACAGCATGTAGAGTAGCTATACTAAAGTCTCTATACTGGCCCTCATATCTCTAGTGCTTTCCATTTCTTTGATGAGAATGAATTGCGTGCAGCTTTCCACCAACTGCTTAAACAAATACAGACAATTAAATGACTAGTTCACCCTAAAATGATCATGCAGTCGTCGTTTACTCTCCCTCATGTCATTGACTTGAGTGTGAAAATGGATTGATGTGAAGGTGATGATTCTCCAAATGTTCATTCCTGAGACTCTAAGTCACTTCTGTGATTAATGGGAAGCATGTTTGATGGGAAAGTCAATCATCGCGTCCACATTCACAGTGATAAATGTGAAAGCAACTCACTGTGGATGTGATTAATACACTGATTCTGCTTCCTGCAGGCTGAGAGACTGTAAGACAGCAAATAAAGCATCTTCACAACAGCGCCAGAGCGATGGGAGACAACGCAACCAGCGTTTCATTAGACTTATTAAGCTGCAATTAACTAGGATGCTGTGTGTGTGTATAGATTATTCACAGTTAGCGTGTTTAATCATAACAGCTCATGAATGAGCTGGATTGAGCGGTTTGTGCGACTCAGGCGTGTCTGACGTCTCTATCTTCACAGGAGATCTCTGAATGCGGCTCTTCCTCCAGAGTTGAGGAGATACTGAATGATGAGAGGTATCGGACTATGAAGGTAAAGTGAGTCTCTCAGGACTTCAGAGTTTAGCATGCGGATTAGCGAGTGTGTGTGTTAATGTGTGTGTTCATGTGTTTGTGGCTCAGTTGTTCAGCAGTGTCTTCGGGGTCGGACCCAAAACGGCTGAGAACTGGTTCTGTAGAGGACTGCGGACGTTTGAACAGGTCCTGAGCGAACCCAGCGTCAGACTGAACCGCATGCAGACCGCAGGTAAACTTTAACATGGGTTTTGTTTCATGTTCATTGTTTTCATGCCTTTTATTTGGTAAAAGTCATGTTCTTTGTCATGTGATTCTTTGTGCCCTCGTCATGTCATGTTTCCATTGGTTCATTGTCTTGTCATGTGGTTGCTAGTTCTGTTTCGTCTTTGGTTGGTTTATGTCATGTGACCCTCTTTGTTTGATATACTGTATTTAGCCCTCATTTTGCCATTATCTCGGCTCTAGCTTTGTTGTTTGTGTAATCCTCTGTTGGTGAGTTTCTCGATTATGTTTTGTTCCACGTCTAGCCAAGTCTTTGTTTGTTTTTTGTATCTGCTCACGTTTGACTTTAATAAAGCTGCACTTGGGTTCGTCTATACTCGCCTTCAGTGGAATATGTGACATAAACACTGACGCTTCGACTGAACAGGTTTGGAAAGAGAGGTGTGAAATGATAGATGTTAAAGGGTTAGTTCACTCAAAAAATGAAAATTAGGCTGCGTTTTACTCACCCCCGAGGCATCCTAGGTGTTTATGACTTTATTCTTTCAGACGAATCCAGTCGGAGTTATATAAAAAAATGTCACTCAGCGGGTGTTGCATGCATCAGTCCAAAAGAAGTTAAATAAAAATCGCCCATCCATAATAAAAAGTGTCTCACACAGCTCCGGAGGGTGAACAAAGGCCTTCTGTAGCTAATCAATGCGTTTTTGAAAAAAAAAAATCCATATTCAAAACGTAATAATCATTTTAATGTAGCTTGCACTCACTGTTGTAAACAGAAGCAGTTCCGGGCGGATGACGTATGAGTTCAGCGCTGCGCATGCGCCGGTGAGTCTCGTGAAAACCAACGTTTGTTTACAGGAGCAAAGGAAGCAAAGTTTCCTTACTTTAACAAGAGAAAACCTTTAACAAGTCTCCTCTTGGCTTTTATCGAAATCCTCCGACATTCTTCTGTACATACATATATATATATATAATTTTTTTTTTTTTTTTTACTTTTTTGGACCAGAAGAATTGCCTTGGATTTCTTTTTTTGCAATAGAACTTTTTAAATATAAAAATAAATAAACAGCAGTTATCATCCTGGACACAGAGAGACAAAATTGATAAAATGCTTAAGAAATTTTTACTTAATACTAACAGTATAAAATAAAATGTCTCAATACATATTTAATTGGCAGCTAAATGTTTATTTGAAAAATACTTTATTACACACCATTGTTTTTATTTATTATCATTTTAAACTACTTTTGTAATTATAATTTTATATTTAAATGAATAAAACTACTTAAAACATGCTTAATAAAAATACTAAAAATACAAAAAACAACAACAACACATATATATATATATATATATATGGAATCGGCAGCTTGAAATCATTATAATATAAAATTGGGAGGTTTATGCCAATTCCCAGGCCTGGTATTCTAAAGCACTTCCAGGAATACCATGTTTTTACCATGCACTTACTCACCAGAGTATGTGTCCAAAACAACACTGTTTTACCACAGTTTATAATGTTTTCAGAGAAGAGTCACTTTTTGACTAGTGTCAAGTGTTTGAAGGTTTTTAAGCCAGACCTCCTCTCTGTTTCTCTCTCTGAGTAAAAACACAGTGTAGACATGATAAATGTTCCTGCCAAACCACACTCATCATTTGCAGGTCATTTTTATGCAGCTGTCGGCCTCTGACGGTGTGTGTCTGGAGCCGAGGGCTCCTGCGCTGTGCTGTGCTTCGGGAGCGTCGCACACAAAACCCCTCAGAATATAAATACACTCATCGATGAGTCTGGATTCATGTGGAGCGTCACGTATTAAAAGGCGGAAGGAAGTGGGAGAATGGCGACAGTTTTGGTTGTTATACATTCAGAGCTCATCAATCAGGCTGGGAAAAGGCCAGCCGTGTTCCCGCTGTCATCTCATTTATGAATTATGATATGATTTTATTGTTAGCGTTTAAAGCAATCGCCTCATCTGACCTGTTGTTTTATGGCCTCGAGTCTTAATGTGGATTTATGATGGAGGGCCGTGTTGTTAATTACTGATTGTTTAGAAAAATCTACTGTAAGTTTAATGAGGCACACCGCTAGTGTTTTTTAATCGTCAGGCCTCGTAATTTTCCACCGCTGTCTTCAGGCGCTCATTCACGCCCTGCTGATCTATAAACAACACGCTGGCTTCAAACAATTATGCAGATCCCATTCGGGAGATTTCCAGTCGGGTGAGAGGCGGATCAGAAAGTCTCTTGTTGGAAAAGATCTCGGTTTTCCTAGTGATTTCTCTGGCTGTGCGCTTGTGATGTGTTTATTTTGAAGTTCAGTGAATGACATCAAATATATGATGCTTTTCTACTTATAGCAGCATGCATCAGTCTCCACTTAAAATGTTTACAGTATTTATTAAATATCTACAGTATTTATTGAGAGAAATGAATACTTGACGAGGATGCATTAAATTAATCAAAGTGACAGTAAAGACATTTATAATGTTACAAAAGATTTCGATTTCAAATAAATGCTGTTTTTTTTAAAACTTTCTATTCATCAGAGAGTTCTGAAAAATGTATCACAGTTTCCACAAAAATACCTATTTGTCAGCATACCTGTTTTCAACATTGATAATAACCAGAAATGTGTCCTGAGCATCAAATCAGCATATTATACTGATTTCTGAAGATCATGTGACACTGAAGACTGCAGTAATGATGCTGAAAATTCAGCTGTGCGTCACAGAAATACATTACATTTTACAATATATTCACAGCTATTTTACATTGTAATAATAATATTTAACATTATTATATTATAATATTTCTATTTCTATTATTATAATATTTCGCCAGCCAATCAGAAGCGCCGTGATTCTCTGAGACAAGCCAATGAGGAAAAACATGTTTTCAACCAAACGCAAGTAAACAAACAAAGTCTCCTTTCTTGCAAAAAAAATTGGTTCTGAATCTATCTTAAGCAGCTAAAAATAAGCCAAATCTCTGCTTTTGTGATTTTCTTGGGGTGCGATTTAAGAACTAGCAACTACTAGACTTTTGGGACTTCATTCAAACACAGTAACTCTCATCCTCTCAACTGTACGTGTGTGTGTGTGTGTGTGTGTGTGTGTTTTTTAGTAGTAGTTTCATGTATCTTAGAGTAGCAAATAATAAATTCTTGTTTCATTTTAAAGAAGCAGTGTCTTGTGTTCTTTGTTTATAAAGCTAACCTCATGCCCAGATATTGTTACCTAGCAAATACATTATCACTAGCATGTACAGTATTATGACCTTTGGCCAAGGGGATCATATAAATATCAAAATTGTTAAGATATACTAATTTTAACGTTTCGCTGGACGAATAGTTGATAAAGTGTAAACTATCAATTTTGAATCGAGTTGATTTCAAATCTTTGGATTCGATTCCCTTTGAACTTGAACTAATTCCTTACATCAAATATATTTTAACTTCATTGCAATGTATGCAGATATATACAAACATGTAAGTATAGTTTTGAGAACTCTGAGTGATGAATCTCTCGTCACGATTTTGGGTGAAGTATGTTTTACATTTGCATTTATGTGTTTGGTAGATGCTTTTAACCAAAGCAACTTTAAGGTGCACTCAAGTCTGTCACTCAAGGTGCTTTATCACTGAAAGTCGTTTTCTCTATGGAGAAAATTAATTTCTGGAGACACGGTTGTGCTCTATTAAGTGTGACAGCAGCACAAGGGAAGAAGTTCACAATATTAGAAAGCAGATCAAAAACTCCAAGATAAAAACCAGGAACGTCTCCTGTATATTTCTCTTTAAGGCTGACAAAGAAAGTTTTCATTGGTAGTACCATCTTTTTTGTACATTAAAGGAATAGTTCACCAAAAATGTAAATGTGCTGCAAGTGTGCTCACTCTCAGGCCATCCAAGATTAGGATGAGTTTGTCTCTTCATCAGATTTGGAGAAATGTAGCATTGCATCAGTGTCTCAG